CCCCCCCCCACTGCCATCCCCCACCCCTGTGTGTCAGGGGCTTAGGCAGTGTTAAGGAGCTTTTCCTGGACTGCTGATTCCCCCCTTGCTTACTTGAAGGTAGGAAGAGAAAGACAGTAAAAGGAATTTTGAAAGCCTGGTAATTGTCAGACCTTCTGAGCATGCACATATGTGTGTGTCCATCTTGTCCCAGAAGACCTCTTCTCCCCACTCCCAGTGAGCAGAGAATTGAAAACGCCAAAGCCTTTTCCAGCTATCATCACAAACCTGTCCTGTGGCTTATTAGCCCCTTACTCTGGACACTCTTTCACAGGGAGCTTGGCTTTGTTCCCTTGCTTCTCAAAGTGCAGTGCAAGGACCAGCAACATCCACCTCACCTGGAAGCTTGTTAGAAAAAAGGACTCCAAGCCACACCCAGTCCTCCTGAATTAGAATTTGCAGCTTAATCTCCAAGTGATTTAGATGCATAGTGAAGTGTGAGAGGCACTGCTTTATTCTACCTTAAGCCTGGGTGAATGAGCTGGCAGGTGACCTAAGCAAAGGTCTGACTCCAAATCTACAGGGAATCCAAGAATCTTAGCCCAGAAATCTGAGCATCTTCTCTAAATGTAGGTATAACAAAAACCTATACACATTCTTCACCTGTCAGGATTAAAAAAAGACAAAGGCTGAGATCACTGTGATAAATGAATTACATTGTAATTAAAGAGTAGTAAGTCCAACTGTTAAGGGGAAGGATGTCCTAAAGGAACTCTGCAGAGTCTTTGGACTCCACCCCTACTCCAGCTTTCTGGACACTATCCCCTACTCCAGTGATTGGAAACTACAACTCCCAGCAGTACCAGGGAGAGAACTGCGAGGACCCAAGGGCAGAGCTAGCAGGAATTCTGGGACACTTGGGGGATAAATAGGGCTCGATTGCATCTCTCACTCTCTCGCTCCGGGAAACAGCTCTCCAGACTGCGTGACTCAGTGTGTTCAGTCAGCCTAGCCATAAGGTATTCCAGTTACTTTGTATCCCGCTCTCTTTCCCTGGGTTGTTTCCTATTCCTTCCCCCTTTTGTAAATAAACCCGTTATTGACCCTTTGTGTGTACCTGCAGTATAACCGAATTGTGAGCGCGTGGGTGAGGCCCCACAGACAAGCGGCCCCGTCCACTCTGGGCTATCCTGTAACACAACTTGTCCTCCCAGGTAAAGGATGTTTACTGTTGCTTGATATCTCAGTAAGAGGAAGCAAGAGAAAGGCAGTGCTGCTTTTATAGGATACATGGGTGATTTTCAATACAAAGGACTTAGATGTCAGAGGTGTTGAAATACTTTCTGCTTCAAACCCTGTATTCTGTCCTTGGCTGACTACTGTCTGAACAGACACAATATTTCAAGGACACTGATTTGATTTACCTTAAGAGACTGTACAGTCCCTTAAAAGCAGAAATGTGAAAACCTAAGATAGGAAACCTTGTGTCAAGGATGGTGTAGGTCTAGTCCCACCAGCAATTAAAAGAATGGCAATCACGTTAACTCCGTGGCTGCAGGGGACTAGAGAATTAGGCCCCAAATTTCCTAAGTAATTTCTGACTCCTCAGAATGCAAGATTTACAAGGAGAAAGCATTCATTTTCCCATAGAGAAACATGTAAGAGTGACAAAAGACTCAAGTACCTCTTTTCATCAGATATGGAAAGTCTGAAAAATTAGATTTTCTTCTAGACTTCCGGGAATGATAGTCTGAAATATTCTCACCAAAGGGGTTTGCACTGTCCACCTAAAAGGAAAGGAAATAAATAGGACTTGAATCTTCTTTTGCAAATTACCCTCTCCTTATTACTTGCAATGCCTATCTCCCCCTTATCATGCATCAAACAGGTAAGAAAAGAGAAAGATGGAAGCAAATTGAATCACAGCCTCCAAGTATTTTAAATATTATACCCAACAGTAATTTAAATGTTATACCCACTAGGGTAACCTGACTCTATCTTCAGTGAGGCTAGAACATGAAGATGTTAGCTAAATGTTAGTGTAATGAACTTAAGTTGAGCACAAATTATATTCTAATCACTGGTAAGGATACACCTCAGTGAATAACAGGTGAATTTATTTCACAATCTTTTAAAATAGGATTCCAAGTTCCTAACAGTATGATTAGTGTTGGCCCAGGTAGAATTTTCCTTGAAGAGAAGGGATTATCACAAAGTGACACTTTAGACTTCCACATTTCCTTCTCAAAGCCCATATTCTTCAGAAAAGAAAACATAGTGATGACTAGTATGTTACTTAAAGTGATCACATTTTCCTAAAGAAAAATTGGACATGATTTGCAAACAGGTCAAAATAATTAAGGATACTTCTAGAGCATTTATGACATAGAGTTGCTAGATTTTGTTTTTTATCTCGTTAATTTTATTTTTTATTGTTCTTTTAAATTTCAATAAAACAAATATCACTATTCATTCTATTTTAGAAATATACTGACTAGAATTTTAATCTTCACACATCTAAATTTTTTTTTAAGATTTTTTTTATTTATTTGTTCATACAGAACTGGGGTACAGGCCAGAGGCTCAGGGACAGCGAGAGGCTTCACCAGAGACAGAGTGGGGAGAAAAACAGGCAGATCGACAAAGTACACTGCTGAGGGGAGCAGTGGGCGGGTCAGGAGAAGTCTGCCATGCCATGTGGTCACCTCCGGGGCAGGCAGCGATCGAACTCATGCTGA